CAGTGAGCACGATTCGGATGTAGGTCGGACAGACCTTGTTAAGCACACAATTGACACGGGTGCAGCCCGACCTATCAAAATCCCCGCATACTGGGTGGGCGCGCCTGAACGGACCCAGATCAAGGAGGCAGTCGCGGATATGCTAGATGATAACATAATCCAGCCCTCGATGAGCCCGTGGTCTGCCCCGGTGGTGCTAGTGACGAAAAAGGACGGGTCGACCCGGTTCTGCGTTGATTAACGAAAGTTGAACGCAGTCACCCTCGGCGACGCCTTCCCCATACCGCGCATCGACGACACCTTTGACAGCCTCGCAGGAGCACGGTATTTTTGCACCCTCGATCTGGCGTCCGGGTACTGGCAGGTGGAGATGGCAGAGGAGGATCGGCCGAAAACCGCATTTACCACCCCGATGGGGCTGTTCGAGTTTCGACTGCTTCCGATCGGACTCACTAACGCGCCCGCGTCGTTCCAGCGGTTGATGGAGTTGGTAATGCGGGGTTTACAGTGGGAACAGTGCCTGATTTACCTGGACGACGTGATAGTGTTCAGCAGATCTCTGTCCGAGCACTGGTCCAGGTTGCGAGAGGTGTAACAGCGACTGCTAACAGCCCATCTCAAGCTCAAGCCGCGTAAGTGTTACATTGCGCAGCGGGAGGTAGGGTACCTCGGACACCGAGTTAGCGAGGCGGGGGTGTGCACCGATCTGGAAAAGGTGCGCGCCGTAGTGGAATGGCCAAGGCCCAGGAATCTGACGGAGATCAGGTCATTCTTGGGACTCGCCACCTATTATCGTCGATTAGTAAAGGGATTCAGCGAGACTGCACGCCCCCTCACCCAACTCACCTCCCCTAAGAACCCCTATCGATGGACGGAGGCCTGCCAAACGGCCTTCACCACCCTCAAAGACCACCTCACCCACACCCCCACCCTAGCTTTCCCCGATTTCACCACGGATTTTATCTTGGACACCGACGCCTGCAGCAGTGGGCTGGGCGCGGTGCTGTCACAGGTACAGGGTGGGACGGAGCGGGTCATTGCATACGCCAGTCGGACCCTGAGTGGAGCCGAGCTGAATTATTGCATGACCTGTCAAGAACTGTATGCCGTGATCTTCGCGTGTAAACAGTTCCGACCGTATTTGTACGGCAGGAAATGTCGGGTGTGCACCGACCATTATGCCCTGCAGTTTCTCCTTACATTCAAGGAACCGTGGAGGCAGATGGCCCGATGGCTGGCGCAGCTGCTGGAGTACAACCTGCAAATAGAGTACCGAGCTGGGCGTACGCACGCAAACGCGGACGCCTTGTCAAGGCGGCCCGCGGTGTGCGCCGAGAAAAGGGTGGAGGAAGTCTGCCCGTGCTTCACGGGGGGCCATTGCCGGCAGGTGGTGGGCCCCCCGGAGCTCACCGAGACTAACCCCCCCCCCCCCCCCCCCCCCGGTGAGAGACAGTGCTGTATGCGCAACAGAGACCCCGGCAGGGGGAACCAGGGACCCGGGGGACCACTCGACAGGCACGGAGCCGACACCCCGGGGCCCGACGGGTCGCCCAACCCCACCCGATCGGATCCAGGAGGACGTCGGCTGCGCCTTCCCGGGCCTGGACGACGAGCAGCTGAGACGGACCCAGCTGCGGGATCCAGATCTGGCAGCGGTGGAGACGGCCTTACGGGGGAAGAAGAATGCCCTACCAGGACCCTGGAGTGGTTTGTATGCCTGGTTGTGTGTGCAGAACGGGGTAGTATGGGAACTAACCGAAGCCGGCCAGCCGGGATGCATCTGCGTTCCCACCCAGGTGCGACCCCAGCTGCTAAGGCTGGTACACGACCACCCGCTCGGGGGCCATGACGGGGAACGGTGCACTAGGGAAACCCTGCGTCACCAGTATCTCTGGCCCAAGTTGGCTCAAGACGTGGCCGCCTGGGTGCAGGGCGTGTCAGGTACTCCTGAGACCGTTCCGCGTCAGCTGGATGAACCAGCCAGTTTGGATCGACCTGCAGGGACCATTCCCGCGATCCCACCGGGGCAACCGGTATATTCTCGTAGCGGTGGAGTACTTCACACGCTATCCCGTAGCGGTGGCCATCCCCGATAAGACAGCCCTCGTAGTGGCCCGAGCGTTCGTAGAACACTACGTACTTAAGCACGGGATCCCCGAATGAGTCATTACTGACCAAGGTAGTGAGTTCGAGGCAGAGCTATTCCAGGCGCTGTGCCGGGAGTTCGGGATCCAGAAGGACCAAACTACGGCGTATCACCCCCAGGCAAATGGGATGGTAGAGAGGATGAACCAGACCCTAGCCGGGAACCTTATACGCATGGCGGCCGCGAATCAACAGGACTGGGACGAACACCTCAACTATGCTCTGTTCGCCTATGCCACCACGGTACACACATCCACGGGACAGACCCTGTTCCTAATGATGTTTGGTCGCGAGTCTGGCCTGTCTACAGATCTGCTGTTCGGTGTCCCTCCGCCGCAACGGGAGGAAGGGAGCCACCCCATGGAGCACCTGATGGAGATCCTACGAGAAGCTAGGGTCCGGGCCTACCCGCAAGGCGAGACCGCACACCAGCGGCAGGAGCGGAGCGCCCGGGGACCCTGGATATTGGGGCGACAGATCTCCCCCTGGACGGTACTGATTCAAGGGGGAGAGAGGGGCCGGGAGATGGTAGTCAATGTCCGGCGACTGAAACCATGGAGGGCGACCCCAGCGAGGGAGAACCCCACCGTTCAAGGACCCCGAAACCCCAGGGTCCACACACCCCCCATACGCGGGGGCCTCGTGCCGTATATGGGCCCCACGGGGCCCCGGGCCCCAGAGGGTCCCGACCCAAGCCAGGGGAGACAGGGACGACGACCCCTGAACCCCACCTCCCCCGAGTTTGTCTCCTAGCCCGCAGGTACCCAGGACCGGAGAGAGCCACTGGAGTGGAGGAGGAGACCGCCGCCGGAACCCCGAGAGACGGGGCCGCCAACGCCAAGACCAGCCACGAGGGCTGTCCCGCGGACCCCGCGGCGCTACCTCGTAGGGGCTACCCAGGCGAGGTGCTCTAGTCAACCCGGTACGGGGACTGGCACCTCGGGGGGCTGTGTGGTGCCACCACGGCGGAGTAGCTCTGTCGGGGACCGTGCCCACCGCCGCGACACCAGCCCCGGGGGGTGACAACGCCGACGCGGCGCACTGCGCCTCGCACCCCCAAACCCCCGCACGAATGCACACACACCCCACGTAGAGCCGGAAGGGGAGATCACCTGGCCGATAGGTTTTTTTCCAGAAGCCCCTAATTGGATTAAGTTTCATGGTTTCCAATGGCCGGGAATTTGGGCGATATCTCCACCCGTAGCTGACACGAACTGCGGCACCGTGACCTGATATTAAAATCACGTAGTTGTGGCGGAGGCCGTAAAGACACCACGGGGCGTGTGAACCACGAGATGCCTGTTGTTATAGATGGAAATGGGAACTGAATGCCCCTGATTATAGGTGGGCTCACGGATCCAAATGACAACAGGATAGGAGCATTCAGGCCTTTGAATGAGCAGGACGACGTGGGGCGGAAGCATCTGAATGCCTTTTGTGCTAGATAAGGTCACAGGACGGAATTCCTTTGTTAGGATCAGGGATCTAGATAACAAAGGGATAAGAATATCCAACATCTGAATGGACAGGGCCAGCTGGGGTGTGAGAACCACAGTGCGCCTTTATTATGAATGGCATTATGGACTCGATGACAATGAGATACAAATAACGCGACCTCTGATTTGGCCGGGCAGCATAGGTGCGAAAGCATTGGAGTGCCTTTTGTTATAGGTAAGCTAATAGACTCGAATATGAAAAGGCACGAGCGATGATGTGTAGGGTCCGTGCAATATGTTTGGTGATAGGTAGGATAAAAAGGAGGTGAGGGGGACAGTAAAAAAAGTCTTCTTCTGCAAAATCATCGCGGTCCACGAGGCAGGAGGGTCAGCCGTTCGAGACGTCCGTGCGACGAGCCCAGCGCAGCTAGACTCAACCCTCTCCGGAGACGACTCACAGTATCGCCTTTCTACAGCGTTCAGCGCAGCAGAGTGGAAGGAATCGTAAGTAGAGGAGAGGTAAGTTTGGGCTATTGAATAGAGGGTAGAAAGCGAAGCTATAGGCAGGATAAGCTGAATCTGGGCTCCTCGAGGAATAGGTTAGGAGGGCCTGCTGACTCGCACAGACACTCGTAGTTAGCGGGATACTCGCGGGGAATAAAACCGCTAATAGAGGATAAAGCTGTGTCGTCGTCACTGTGAGTGCGAGGAGGGAGACGGAGTGTTTGGTGTTCGCATACCGGTACGAGTGTGTACAGTACTGTTTTGCGCTCGTGCGCATACGCGGCTGTTTGCGGCGGATACGAGAGTAAAGAGTGCTTGGTGGTCGCGCGCACGCATGGTTGTTTACATCGGGGCGGAGCGCTTAGCGTGCGCGTGCCTACGCGGCTGTTTACGGGTGTGCTGTTCGCCGGGCGCGTGCATAAGCGACTGTTTTCGGTAGTGGTTACAACTGACAACCCCATGGAAGTGGCTACGAAGACGGACCGCCCCCAGAACCAAACACAACACCAGGGCAGCCCAACAACAATAAAGTCAAATTTACGAAGCCCACATCACTCGGTAACGACAATTTGGCAGCCCAAACGTAACACAACCGACACTTGGGCAGCCCCGACAACACATAAACCGACAATTTGGCGATGAGGGCTGGAGGCCCCAGGTGCGCGCCGGCCCGAGCGGCGGCTCCTGCTGCCCACCCCGCGGCGAGACACGCAGCCGTGGCGTCGGCACGGCAATGCGCTGCACTGCGAGGTGCAGAGCCGCCGCAGCGTCGGCGGCCCACACCCCAGGCGCGGCTGCGGAGAGGGGCCGCGGCGCAGCCGGCGGCCCACCGCGCGACCGCCGCGACATGCGGAGCCGCGGCGGCGCGCGCGGCAAAACCCGCAGGCACAGCGAGGGGCGGAGCCGCGGCCGTACCTGGGCCCCCTCCGGCGGGCGCAGCGTGGTGCAGAGCTGCGGCGTCGCCGCCGGCAGACCTCGCGTGCTTGGCGGCACCCACGGTGGAGAGCGGCGCCGCAGCGCCCATGGCGCCGACATGCGGCGTCGCATCAACAATGGCGGACGCTTGTGGCGTCGCAGCCAAAATGGCGGCCGCCTGCCGTGCCCCAACCAACATGGCCGCCGCCAGCGGCGTCGCAGCCAAAATGGCGGCCGCCTCCCGCGGAGCCCCCGTCGGGAACATGGCGCCAATCTTGAAATTAGCGGGAAGCAGGTTGGCGGGAATCCGCCGCTCCCATCCAAAATGCGTGTCGAGCGCGCGCACCTTTGCCTCCACCTCCTCGATCTGGGCGCAGATCTGGGCGCAGAGCTGTGCCATCGGCCACGCGAGCAGCTCCAGCTGCCTCGCAAATGCGCTCCCCGCGCCTGGCGGCGGCGCGCTGGCACTCCCAGACGCCTTCACCACGTTGCCTTGTGCGCAGAGCTGCTCCATCGCCCGTGTGAGCGGCTCCAGCAGCTCCGCGAACGCGCTCCCCGCCCCTGGCGGTGGCCCGCTGGCACCCCCGGACGCCTTCTCCATGTTGATTCGGGCGCCGAGCTGCGCCATCGCCTGCGTGAGCAGCTCCAGCTGCCCCACGAACGCGCTCCCCACGCCCGGCGGCGGAGCGCTGGCACCCCCGGACGCCTTCTCCTCCCGCTCCGTCCCATTCTTCTTCTCGGGGGCCGTCACCGGGGCCCCGGACTCCGGGGTCACTGCCGAAACCTCCTCCACGCCGTCTTCATCCTCCGATCGTCCCGTCAGTGGGTTCTTGTGTGCCGCTCCCGATGTTGACATGGTGGCGGCAGCGCAGACACTCTGACACCAGTTGTTGAGGATCCCACTTCTGAAACCAGTTGTTGAGGAGCAACTGACGACGACTCGAAGACGGCTTGAAGGTAAGGGCTTTCGCCAAAGGTTTATTAAGTATATTACAATAACACAAAGGGTGTGACAACTTCCCAGGGGTTAGGGGTCCTACACTAAGTCCTGATCCAGCCCGGCTAGGTCCAGTCTCTCTCCCTCGAGTCGGATGGGGGCACTTGCCAACCCCACCGACCGGGAAGAGCAGCACCTCCTACGGCTACCACCGGCTTCACTCCTGACTCTTCGTCGATCCCTCTCTACCCCTGGTTCCCTCTCCACCCTTCTCACTCTACCCGTTCCCACAGTGACCCCGCTTTCGTCACGGGGCCCCTTTAAATACTAGAGACATGACGTCATCGAGCCGCCCAGCGCGCATGACGCCACGTTCCGTGACGTCATCGCACTAGACGGCACACATGACGTCACGTCCCCATTTTACTCCTCTACAGTTGTAATACAACACAGGACAGAGCAGTGCATCGTGGCTGTTTCTCTCTCTCCCCCCTCCTCCGTTCCGAGCATAGATGGACTCGTCCGTCTGAACAAAGCTCGTCGCTTTCCGTGGTGCTAACGTTGAAAAGAAAAAAGAAACCGCCACTTTTTCAGACATAGTTACATGCTAATCCCTCACACTAATATTATGCTAATCTTCCAGTTACATGCTAATTTCTGACTTTAACATCCTGCTAATCCAACACATTAACACAGCTACTTCAATGCTAAATTCTTCTGTTGATATGTAAACTCCTTCGTCAAGGCGCTCTGCTCCTCCCACCCAGCTTAAAAGATGCTGCCAAACTTGGCAGTGTTCACTGAAGCGCTGTCTTCCCGACAGTTCTGTTTCTTCACCTAAGGAAGGCTACTTGTGTTGTGGCCAAAACGTCGTGAGAATTTTATTACGTTTTATTTTTATTATTATTTTATTTCCATTCTACGTGTATTTACCGAAAGAACCAAGAAGATGAATCCTGCAGTCATGAAAGCTTTAAAACGAAATTTAATATTGACATTGTGGGTATGGATCTCGCCAAGAGGAATCAATACACCGGAATCGATTTCCTGATATATGTCGTGAAGTCAGTTTTCAGTTTATTTATTTTGTATAGCCCTGTGAGCCATTCGGCTCTTAAATCGGGTGCAACTACAACAAACAAAAACACGAACAAGAAAACATCTTAAAGTGACTATGTGACTGTGCAAACAGAAAATCCATGAAAAAATAGCAAAATATTCCTGAAAAAAGCACCGTACACCAATGTTGTGTGCAAAAAATCCCAGTGGGATATAAGTCAAACAACAACAATAACAACCAAAAGAAAACTTAGATTAAGGCCATCAGTCTAACTCCGTACTACAACAAACAAACATGTCCGAACCAAAAAACTATTCGAAATCTATAAAAAAAATAAAGCCATAATTGCAACGTAACAGTGATCACAGGGACTGTGACCGAATTTTTACAATAAACTACATAAATAACATGTAGCACCAAATCCTAGAGCCATAGCTGGCTGCATGAACAACAGAAACATCAGTCGAAGTATCAAATTTTTCAATGCAGCTTTGAGATCAGCACGCTAAATCAAAATACAGATAATACTTTGCAGCGTCATCCGGAGCGAAACATTTTATTTTACGCCAATGAATAGCAGTGGCAGCTAGGGGTGTACAACTCTTCTAGAGCAGTTTTGAGAGAAGATCTCATTGGTAGCGATTCAAGTTGCAGTTAATTGGCAATAGCATTCCAGCCCCTGGGGGCATCAATAGCAAAGGCCCTTCCTCCAGTTTTTTACGGCAATTGGGAATGTGAAGCTGGTAAATGAGCGAAGACCTGAGGTCAAATTTGTTCTTTGAAACAGAGAGGAGATCCAGCAGGTAGTCGGCGGATTTTTTTGTAAGTACATCATGAATAAATAAGATCTGGTGCACAAGCCGTCAAACATTAAGATATGTTAAGTTTGATCCAATGTAGAGATCACAGTGGTGAGTCCTATATGGGCAGTTCAATGTAAATCTTAAAACCGAGTGATAGATGGAATCAAGCTTCTTCAGTACAGTACTTTGGGATGATTTATACACGATGTCACAGTAGTCAAGTACAGGCAGTATGGTAGCTTTATCAAACCCAAACGGAACATTGGGGGGAAGCAGTGCTTGTGTTGATACAGAAAACCAATTTTTATTTTGGTCTTTTTACCAATATAATCAATGTGATCTTCAATATTCAGTTTTGAATCCAGGATGACCCCAAAATACAGTACTTATAGATCTTGACTTGCTCTATTTGATAATTATTTAAGGAATGTAATTGGGAAAAAAATAACTTCCTGCTTTAGTCCTGGTGAGAAGCATAGCACCTTGGTTTTGGAGGTATTCAGGACTAGTTTAAGAGCAACTAGCTGATGTTGTATTTTGATGAAATCACCCTGTAGCTTAGCAATCACGTCATCTGGAGAGCGGCCAGCAGTAATCAGTATCATGTCATCTGCAAAAAGATTTACCCTGGAATAATCCAGGTCAGTGCCCAAGTTATTGACATAAAGAGAGAACAAAAGGGGGCCGAGGATGGAACCCTGTGGAACCCCTTTTTTATCTTAACACTCTTTGACCTCCAACCATCTGTGAATACAGTTTGGGTGCGAGAAAAGGGGTAATTTTGTAACCATTTTACTGCGTTTTCGGAAAAACCGAGGCAACTTAGTTTACAAAGCAGGGTGTTGTGGTCTGCTGTATCAAAAGCTTTGGACAGGTCTAGAAAAAGACAGGCACAGTACTGAGAATTATCAAGGCTAATGTAAATGTGATTCAGAGAGTCTAATGCAGCAGATGTGGTGCTGTATTTTTTTTGGAACCCAGATTGTTTTATATGTAGTAGATTGTTGGTGGACAGGAAATTGCTAATTTGGTAGGTCAATCATTTTTCAAAATGTTCATCAACGGGGACAAAATTGAGATAGGTCGGTAGTTATTTGGATCATCTTTAGGGCCCCCTTTGTGAAGTGGACGGACATAGGAATGTTTCCATTCTAGAGGAACTGATGCTTCTTTGATGGACAGGTTGAAAATATGGGCTATAGGTTTGTATATTAGGTGACCAACAGTTAGAGCAAAGACGGGAATACTATCTGCTCCGGTAGAGAAGGACCCTTTGAGGTAGGACGGTTGTTTCAGAACATTACTTTCGTGGATTGGCTGGAAACTAAATTCGTTTAATGTTTGGACAGAGGTGTAGGAATTTGCATGAGCAGGGATAACTCCCAATACATTATCAAAAAGATTACCAGCTTCAGAAAAATGAAGGTTAAAATTGTCAACTATTTTTTTGGGATCTGAAAAAATATCCCCATTTCGGTTAAGCTCAGCGGGCAGATTGTCTGTTTTGGATGCCTTTTCGATACATTTGATTGTTTTCCAGAAATTCCTGGCATTTCCATGTGATTCCAGGAGAGTAGAGGAAAAGTAGGCATTTTTGCATGCCGTATTTTTTTTAACGCATCTATTCCTTAAAATCCTGTGTTCTAGCCAGTCATTGACCAAATTACTTTTCTGAGCACATGCCGAAGCCTTGTCCCTAGTTTTCATGAGCTTTGTAATGAAAGGATCAAACCATGGTGGGCGGTTGCCTTTAGTTTTAAATCTAACCAACGGAGCATGTTTGTTAAGAATTTGGAGAAACATGTACCTGAAGGTCTCCCAAGCCGTAGTCAAGTTGGGGATATCACAGACCTTGTCAATATCCGAGTGAAGCACATTATTAGTACATGCCTGAGTGCTGAAGTGTCTCATAGAGTGCTTCTCAACCAATTAAGGGGGGGCTTTGGGTCTTGCTGATGATCTCACCCCAAAAATTAAGGAGTGATCACTAAGGTTATTACCCAGAACACCAGTCAGTGTGAAATTGTGAGGGGCATTTGTCAATAGGACGTCAAGCAGAGATGACTGTCCCGGATTTTTTAGGTTGGGTCTTGTGGGGACATTAATTAATCGAAAAAGATTAAATTCATCTGCAAAATTTGTGGCCACGACTGGCGGGTTTAGCCAATTCCAATTTAAATAACCCACTAAAAATATTATACCTTCAAGGAGGCCCCCCAAAAAGCTCTCTCAGTAGAGATGCAGCTTCAATATCCTTCCCACTAGGCGGTCGATAGCAGCACACTATCAAAATATGTTGATCATTTGGGAGAGTTATTTTGAGAGCCAGACCTTCAAAGCAACATTTTTTTAAACAAGGAGTGAGCTAGTGAACATGCAATAGTATTACGAACATAGATGGCAATTCTACCTCCTTTAGATCCTCAGTCAAGCCGAAAAAGGTTGTAGTTGTCAATCGCAATCTGCAAGTCATTGACGGCAGGAGTGAAATTTTTTTCTGTTAGGCAAAAAATGTCCGGGTCAAGATTTGCCACTTCTAGTTTTACTTGACTTAATTTAATCACAAGCTCTCTGATGTTGACATGTAGAACACCAACAACTTTCCTGCCAGAAAAATCTACAGAATTATATGAGTTATTTTCAATTGGGCCAGGATGAAGCTCAATACCACCCAGAAATAAGAAAAGTAGAATTAATAGTTTCCACAAGTATTTTCTGTGAAAGGATGAAGAGCGGCGAACCTTAGACGAATAGCAGTAACTCGCAGATGGTGTTATTTATAAGAGCAGAATAAAGTTTGGAAGGAGTGCTGGTGAAGTAATGGGACAAAGATAGGGTTTAAAAGGATACAATGATGGAGTGTAGACGTGTCTATGAGCTGTTTCATTAGCAGGTGTAGTAGCAAATCGAGCAACAAGTATGGATGCAAAGTAACGAGGGTAGCTGTTTGTAGAGTTGAGTGTGGCACTAGATATGGCCGGGAGGGACAGCAGTAGGATACACAACAGGAGAATTGCCATCTCTAAAATATCCGGGGTAAACACAGATTAACACACAAGCGGAAAATAAAAAATATATACTTGTAGGCCAAGCGCGAGAAAAACGTCTTGCCGCACTCGTCACACATGCACGGCTTCTCGCCCATGTGCTAAGGTTGAACAGTGCCCCCCCCCCCCCGCAGACAGAGAAAGCAGATTTTTGGCTGTTGTGGGTCCGGCTGAACCGCTTGCACCACCTCCTTTCCCCGCCGCAGGATGGTGCTCGAGCTAGCCCTCCTTGAGCTCAGCCCACGACTGGAATGTCGTTTCTTGGCCTCTCATGTCTCTGCTGCCCGACCAGACGGCCCCACTGAAGCCCACACAGGGGACTCTTCATTCACGACCCTTGGCCGTATTGATGATCTCCGTGAAGTTTTCCAGGAACACAGCTTGGGGTCCGTCGCAATGTTGCCTTGGCAGGAACACAGCTTGGGGTCCGTCGCACTTTTAACTAGGCCTCACTCAGGCTGTGCCAGGTGCACGATTTACTAGGCCTCACTCAGGCTGCACCAGGTGCACTGTCAACCAGGCCTCACTCAGGCTGCGCCTTGTGCATGATTAACCAGGCCTCTCTCAGGCT